GGGGGGGGGGGAGCGGGAGGTTGTTTCCATCTGGTCAGGTAAAGCACTGCAGTAGTATAAGCCATGCAGTAACGCTCAACAGGATTTCTTGGCCTAATAACGCAGTGACATTAAAGCAATTGACATTGAAAAGGGATGGCTTTCTATGTGGATTCCCTGATGTGTGTACATGTTGCTGGGACAGTAATGGTAAGTGCTCTGACTGTCAACAATATAACAGTGAAGGTTACAGTCCCAGTGCTCCCGAGTCCCTGCACATGGAAGTCCATTGTTCCAGTTCAGCAGCCCTGGCTGGACAGTAGGCAGGGACTGAACCCTGTACTAGGTCGGCCTGTTTTGCTTGTACCAAACCTGAACAGCACATCTGACAGTGAGTTATTCAGTTTATTCTCTCAGGTGTGGCAGTGAACTGCCAGCCTGTCACACTTACCCACTGGGAACGTGTGCATCCACCTCCTCCTATTTGATGTCAGCTTCATCGGCATCCGGGAAGGGGCAAACGGATTAATGAGTGCCCGCTGAGGGGTGTATCCGCCTGGTCGAATATGGAGCATGGACTCGGCACTGCCAACGTGAAAGCGGCCGGGGGCACTGGAATCTCTCTGCTGGGAGTCGATCATTCGCTCCAGGATATCTGCAACAGCGAGTTCACAATCAACAAAAAGGACAGGCCATTGACGACAATACCTAAAGCAAAGACACTGCGGGAATCAGAAACAAGAGAAACTGCCAGAGAAACTCAGCAGGTCTAACAGCATCCGTAGAGGGGGAAACAGAGTTAATGTCTTGAGTCTGGCGTGACTTCAGAAATGTAAGGTGCTGAAAAACGTGTTTCCCCTCATACTTTGGACAGAGTCACAGGAGGAGCAAGAGGGAGGATGGCACAGTGGCCCAATGCAAAATATTAATAGCGGAGAAAGAAAAAAAAAATGAGATGAGAAAAGGGTGTAAATTAAGGTGTGAAAAGGAGAGAATGGGTCCTCTACTCAGAGCAAAGTAAACAAGACAAGACTCTGGCCAGATTTTATTGGATGCTTTCTATCATGCACCTATCTGGATGCATCACAGCATGGTTTGGCAACTGCTTTTCCCAAGACCACAAGAAACTACAGAGTCATGAACACAGCCCAGTCCATCACACAAACCAGCCTCCCATCCATTGACTCTATCTGTACTTCCCACTGCCTTGGGAAAGCAGCCAACATGATCAAAGACCCCTCCCACCCTGGTTATGCTCTCTTCCACACTCTTCCATAGGGCAGAAGATATAAAAGTTTGTATACATGAACGAAAAGATTAAGAACAGCTTTTCCCCTGCTGTTAGTTGACTTCTGAATGGACGTCTCAATTTTTAAATTTAATGCTAACCTCACTCTTTCTGCAGCCGTAACATTGTATTACTCGCTCTGTTCTACTATCCTAATGCACTTCATATGGTATGATCTATCTATCTATCTATATGGCTGTGAGGAGGTAACTGTGGGAGTCAGTGGGTTTGTCATGAATATTGGTGGACCCCACAGAAACGGTGAAGTCAAGGATGGGAAGAGGCAGAAGTGAAGGTGAGAGAAGGTATTTCAACTATTTGCAAATCAATTTGCCCATAACTCAGTCATCAGTAAACCGCTAAGGCAGTGAGTAACATTGGCCAGTCTGTAAGGCTGGCATTCCATCTGATCGAGTGACTCTATGTCCATTTGTCCTTTGTCCTTTATACAGCCATGGAGGTCTGTAGCACAGAAAAAGGCCGTTCGCCCTATTGAGTTTGTGGCAGTTGATATCATTCACCTACCTATTCTAATCCTATTTCCCAACACTTGGCCCTGAGCCTTGCATGCCTCTTTGTCCCCAGTGCACATCTAAATGTAAGGAGGGTTTTTGCCTCTATCACCCTTACAGGGGGTGAGTTTCCCACCACCCTCCGAGTGAAAAATTTATTTTCTCACACACTGTCTAAACGTCCTGCCCCTTAGCATAAATCTTGCTGGGCTTTTTCCAGACTGGTTTCAGGAACTAAATTCCTTATTTCCTGAACCGACAACAATCCAAACAAGAGATCGACAATCTGACCCATTTCTGGGCAAAGGATTTCTCCTGAGTTCCATACCAGACTTAGAAGCATAAAGCTTTACAGCGCAGAAACAGACCCTTCTGTCCAACTCGTCCATGCTGACCAGATATTCTCCATTAATCTAGTCCCATTTGGCCCATATCCCTCGAAACCCTTCCTATTCATTTACCCATCCAGATGCCTTTTAATTGTTGTAATTGTACCATCCTCCACCACTTCCTCTGGCAGCTCATTCCATACACACACCACCCTCTGTGTGAAAAAGTTGCCCCATAGGTCCCTTTTATATCTTTTTCCTCTCACCGTAAACTTATGCCCTCTTGTCTTGGACTCCTCCACCCTGGGAAAAAGATCTTGACTATTCACCCTATCCATGCCCCTCATGATTTTATAAACCTCTATAAGGTCACCCCTCAGCCTTCGATGCTCCAAGGAAAATAGCCCCAGCCTATTCAGCCTCTCCCTATAGCTCAAACCCTCCAATTCGGGCAACATCCTTGTAAATCTTTTCTGAACCCTTTGAAGTTTCACACTATCCTTCCTATAGCAGGGAGACCAGAATATTCCAAACGTGGCCCCACCAACATACTGTAGAGCTGCAACATGACATCCCAATCCCTATACTCAATGCACTGACCAATAAAGGTAAGTGTACTTCTTAGTGGTTCTCATATTTCTGACTCTTCGTTCCGGTCCCCTCTCCATCGACTCCAGCCAATCCTTGCATAACCTTAGACATCACTAAAAGAGTCACTTCTCCACCTTCCTACACAAGAATACCTCAGCACCACACTCACCCCAGTGCTGGCCACCAACACCCTGGTTTCTCTAGTCCCTTCCCCACAAATTGAGGCCAGCCAGTGTGTCTGCAGCATAATCAGAATGAAACCATATCCAGGGCAGAAATAGCCTTTTAAGAAACTCACAGCTGTCTTAGTATAATAAATACCCTTAATGAAAGGTACATTACATAGAGCATCAAGCACAGAAATCGGCCATTCAGCCCAACACTGCATTTAGATTCTACCAGCGCCTTCTCCCACTCTCCATTATCTCACCCCGTCATCAACTCTTAACACTCTTTCTTCCCACAACTTCTTTCAGAGTTTCCCCTTTAAATGCACACGTTGCTTTTGTTTCAGTTACTCTCTGCTGCAAACATGCTCCCAATCTTTGGGAAAAGATTTCTCAGAAAATTCTGACTGGATTTATTCACGAGCCATAGCATGGACATCCTCCACCTCATCCACACGTGCTGTATCAAGCCCCTTCATAACTTCTGCAGAAAAGATTCCCAGCCGTTCTCAGTGATTGTAACCTTCCAGCTCTATCACCATTCTTGACATTTCTTTGCTGTACCTTTCCCAGTGGCTCCGTTTTTTGCAAGAGTATGGAGATCTAACCATTCGCAATACTCCAACTGTGGCCCAAGCAAGGTTTAAATATAACTACAGTGTAATACTCTGTTGAAGAGGAGTCATAAAGGACTTGAAACATCAACTGTTTCTCTCTCCATAGACGCTGTCAGACCTGCTGAATTTCTGCAGCATTCAGAATTTGAATTAGCATTATTGTCACATACTCAAATGAAAAATTGCCACTTACGGCTCCATCTTAGGTACAGGATACCTAGATACAGACTCTTAAGTCTGTGGTATAAAATAGAAAAAAATAAATAAAAGTCTAGCATTAGAATAAAAAGAAGGTATAAGGCTTCTTCCATCTCGGAGTAGCAAGGTGTCATACACGCTTTAACCGATGTTGTGAATGGGCTGAGGGAGGGGGTGGGCTGCTAGGAATCAGGATTGTTGCTCCATAGGCTGAGGTGGGGAGGGGTTGGGGGAGGGGATGGGCTGCTGGGAATCGGGATTGTTGCTCCATAGGGCGAGGTGGGGAGGGGTTGGGCTGCTGGGAATCGGGATTGTTGCTCCATAGGGTGGGGTGGGG